TGGTTTTTTTTTCTATTTCCAGCTGGCTTCAGAAGAAGACCTGGTAGCTAACTGTGGTCCCTTCGTGACTGTCTCTCTTTCATGTGAATTCCTGGGAGTAGAATTGAGGGTCCTGGGTGAGCACATGTTGGGAAATCTATGCACTTGTGGGACTTCCCTGGGGGTCCAGTGGTTAAGGCTGTGCTTCCAATGCAGGGGCTGCAAGTTCGATCCCTGGTTGGAAAACTAGGATCTCACATGCTGTGCAGCCAAAATAAAAGAAAAATTTGTGTACTTGAACTGGGTTTCAAGGGCTCAGGGGAGGGAACACTGTTGGCCAAGAGGGTAGAAAATAGCATCGGGAATTCCCTAAAGGCCTCTTGGGAAATAACAAGGAAGACTCAGCTTTCTGTACAGAATCCCGGGGAAGTGGGATGGTGCGGCCATGATGGTCTCCATCCCAGGGGCCTTCCCTGCCTGACCGGAGGCAGCAGGAGAGACTCAAGACCCAGAGGAGTCTTCCCAAGGAACCAGAGCCATTGACTGCTTTGGACCAGGGGGAGGACCCCAAGAGACATGGGAACTGAGCTTCGGAAAGATAATCTGTCTTGCATGCTCAGTGTGATCTGGGGAGCCCAGCGGGAGAACTGGGGGCTGGAGGCAGTTCTAAGCCAGGTTCTTAGTCAGTCTTGGGGTGACAGCAACACCAGCCACCCGGAGCTCCTCCCGGGTCCCTGCTGAGGCTGGTCAGGGTGGGGAGGTCCCCTCCTAACAGTCTGGGGTCAGCTCAGCCACTGTGCAAATTCCTGGACGGACTGCCCCTGGGAGGTTTGTTTCCATGTCGACCACTGATTTCCATGGAGGGCCGCCTGGCCTCTCCCAGTGTGTCCCTCACTGGGGGCCTGGGGGTGTCACCTGAAGCTGCCACCACCAGTGGGACATTCCATCTGAAAATTGATTCAAATGTTGCATTCTGCTTCCTGACTTGACCAGTTCATTTTAATATTAAAATATTGGTTTTGTTACATACCCCAGAGTAAATCAATCCTCCGACTTGAGTTACCGACACCATGTCTGACTTGTTCCATCCACACCCTTCCAGTCCCCAGCAGCCGGGCCAGTGCCACAGTCCAGCCACCCCTCATCTCCCACACAGCCTCAGAGGCTGCCACTGACGCCGAGTTTTCTGTAAGCAGCGTCCCCTGGCATGGTGCAATAAGTCTCACTGTTCTGGTAGAGAGGCCCTAGACCGGAGGGTCAGAAGACCTGGATTCTGTGTGACGTCACAGCCAATAGGCCATGTGACAGGGGGGCCAGCAACTCCGCCCCCTGGGCCCTTTCCCTCGTGCAGGAAAGGGAAGCCCCGGGCAGTCTTCTCGGGGCTGGATGGGGCTTCACACTCAGGGACTCCACGCTGGGCATCTCAGACGAGGGGGAGTGGTAGTGGACTGGGACGCAGAGAAGGAGCAACTGGACTCCCTCCAATCACAGCAGCTGGAGGGCCCACTGCACCCATGTGATTGGGCCCCCCCGACCCCAGCGTGCTGAGTGAAGCCCTGCTGTCCCAAAGGCTGAGATGCTCCCACGGGCCTGAGCACAGCTTGCTGGGTTGTGGACTGACGCTGACCTGCAGGCCTTCTCCAGGGCCGTGGCTCCGAGCGGGTAGCACATCCTCCCTGGGACCGCCCTGGGGTTCCCAAGGCTGGGTGAGGGGTGGGCGCAGGGAAGGGGCGGCAGGGTGGCTCTGCCCTCCCCCGCCCCTCCCACACCCCTCGGACTCTTCCCAGGAAGCAGGTTTCACAATCGGATACCTGCCTGCCCGCTGACCCCCTGTCTCTGCAGCGTGCGTGGAGGTGGGGTTCTGGCCCCCTGCTCCAAGGCTGCAGCCCCCACCCCCGCCTCACCACCCTGTCATGGGCACTGGGCGGAGGGGTCGACCTGAGCAATCCCACTCTCCCAACCTCAGCAGAGGAAGAAAGACGCCTTGTCTTTCTTGAAGAAAGAGCTCCTCTTCCTAGCCCCGCCCTGCCGCAGAAGTGGCTGAAATCCTGATATTAGAGTGGTTTTGTTTAGCAAACAAGGAGCATGCAAAGTATGTCCTCCGTGCGCCCGTGTGTGTGTGTGTGTGTGTGTGTGTGTGTGTGTGTGTGTATGTGTGTGTTCCCATCTCTGGGAGGTGCAGGCTCACTCCAGGTGAGCCTGACTCTGCTGTGTGACTTTGGGCAAGTTTTCTTCCCTCTCTGGGCCACAGGGTCCCTGTGGATGGGAGGAGGGGCAGGAACAGGGGTCTCCAGGGCCCCAGCGCCTCCGTTGGATTGGCTGCCAGAGGCCGTCTTCCTCGGACTTCAAGAGCAAGGTCGCCGGCAGGACAGGATCTGAAAGCCTGCTGAGGAGACCAGACCACCCTCGTATGCAAATCCCAAGCCTCCACCCCACCCTCCGCACACCTGACGGGTTTGTGCAGGGGAATTCTTGCTAAAGTAAACAGGAAGGGCCTCTGCAATGAAGTGCGCCAAGGGGTCCTGCCCAGCCAAACCCAGAGCCTGGGAGCCCAGGGATTTACCATTCCCCAGGGGCCTCAGAAACCTCTAGACTCACCGTGGAGGACAGCAAACATCGCAGATGTCGTTGGGAAGAAAGGCAAACAGAAACTCAAAGAAGACATGGGTCAAATGATCGCAGCTCCGCACTTACCTGCTGGGTGACCTTGGGCAAGATGAACGACCTCTCTGAGTCTCATTTACACCCGCTTTGTGACAAGGGATAACGACATCTCCTTTGCAGAGGGCCGTGTGGGTCAGAGACAGTGTCAGGCAGCCTTGGGCCTAGCTTGGCACCCGGAAGTGACTCATTCAGAAGTGTTCACTGCAGCGGGCCAGGCACGGGCTTGGTGCTGAAAGCCAGAGCCCAGAGGGAATTCCTTCTAGCAGAGAGGAAGCTTGTCCACAGGTAACTACTAGTACCGGTACCGGTTCAGTGTGTTCTGAGCTGTATGCGAGGAGCCCAAGGAGCTCCGTGTTTAGAAGCAGGAGAACTCTGGCTGGAATGACCAAGGGAGGCTTCTTGGAGGAGGCAGCACTTGAGCAGGCCTTGCAGGACAGTCAGGACTTCAAGAGGGCGTGTTCATGGCCGAGCAACACTTACCGTGTGCTGGGCCGGGCTCACTACTGTACAGGCATGGCCTCAGGGGATCCTCTCACAGCCCACAGGGAGGACTGCTACATTCATCATTTTACAAAGGAGAATCTGGCAGCTAGTGAGGGGCCACCGGAGAAGGCAGTGGCACCCCACTCCAGTAGTCTTGCCTGGAGAATCCCAGGGACGGGGGAGCCTGGTGGGCTGCCGTCTGTGGGGTCACAAAGAGTCAGACACGACTGAAGTGACCTAGCAGCAGCAGCAGCAGTGAGGGGCCACACCAGGCTTAATGTAATCACACCTGCTAAGTCTCCTCTGCTCTGAGATAATAGTCACAAGTTTCAGGCATGAGGACATGATTTTGTTTTGGGGGGGGTTCTTCTTTTTTTAAACTTACTTTAAAATATTAATTAATTAATTTATGGGCTATGCTGAGTCTTCCTTGCCATGTGCAGCTTTTCTCTAGTTCCACTACATAGGCTTCAGTAGTTGTGGCCCGCTGGCCTAGCTGCTTCGAGACACATATGAGATCTTCCCAGCCCAGGGATTGAACCTGTGTCTCCTCCATTGGGAGGCAGGTTCTTTACCACTGAGCCACCTGGCAGGCCTCTGGGGACCATTATTATGCCTACCACAGTGATTCCATCAAGGACCTTGCGATGGGAAGGGTCCCCCGGGTGATCCAGGAGGGGCCCGATGTGATCACAAGGGTCCTTATGAGAGGGAAGCCAGCAGGTCAAACGCAGAGAAAGGAGGTGGGCTGATGGGAGATCAGAGGGATGCAGTCTGGAGATAGAGGAGGAGGCCACGAGCTGAGGGATATAGGCTGGGAAAAAAGTGGCAGCAGAGTGTCCCTCGAAGTCTCCAGAAGGAACCAGCTTCCTGGCACCTTGACTTCTAGCCTCGTGAGATGCCCTTTGGATTTCTGACCTCCACATCTGTAAGAGAATGCCTTTGTGTTTTTGTTTTAATTTTTTTGGCCATGCTGCGATCCCTGGGTGGGGAAGATCCCATGGAGGAGGGCATGGCCACCCACTCCAGTATTCTTGCCTGGAGACTCCCCGTGGACAGAGGAGGCTGGCGGGCTGCCATCCACAGGGTCACAAAGAGTCGGACATGACTGAGTATCTAAGCACTGCAGGCTGTGTAGCATGCAGAATCCTAGTTCCCCAGCCAGGGATCGAACCTGCGGCCCCTGCATTGGAAGCGTGGTGTCTTAACCATCAGACCACCAGGGAAGTCCCCCTTGGTGTTGTTGGAAGCCGCCAAGCTGACAGTGACTTGTTAGAGCGGTCACAGGAAACAGAGCGCCCCCGGCTACGCCCACCTGGCCCCGCCTGCCGTCCTGTCACAGGGGTCTCCATGGATCTGCCCCGGCGTTTGGTCTCTCAATGTGTCTGTGAGTGACTACAGAGCTTTCTCTGCTTTTCAAGACTCCGTACCATCCCTCCCCAAAAGCCTCAAGCATACCCAGTAGGCACTGAACAAATGCTGGTCAAATGTAAGTAAAGGGGTGTCTTTATTTTTATTTACAGCTCTTGAGAGGAGCAGGCTTTTGACAGCAGTAACTGCTGGCTTCTCCACGGTCTGACAGCAGAACTGGAATCCCCGTGGCCGGAGTGCCCGTCAGAAGCGGGGATCAGCCGGCTGAAGCAGAGGGGTGCTAGGCCTCCCACTGAGGCGGGAAATGGCTCTGACCATCTCCCAGAAAGAGGCCTGCTGAAAGCCAAGCTGACCCGAACCCTGGGGGCAGCAAATAGGGGAGGATTTCTCTGGGCCCACCTGGGGCTACTCTGGCCTCCTGGGCTCTGACAGGGGAAGGCTCTGAGCTCCCAGACCTGCAGACAGCATCGGCTTGGGAAAGGCCCAGCTGCCCCTTCCCAGCAGCGGCGGAAATGTTGGCCCAGAGAGGGAAGGTGACTGGCTCGAGGCCACACAGCAATTTGAGTCTCAGAACAGGTTGGATGAGACTGTCCAGGGCTGCCTCCACGAGACTGGGGATCTGGGTGTGTGAGACTGGCCTCTCTCCAGGTGACACGGTCTTGGGGCCGGCGGGGAGCCGGACTCAGGGCAGCCTCACTTGAGGTTGTGCTGGCTCTCACGGTGCCGCCGCAGGTCCACTTTGCGCTGGAAGCCCTTGGCGCACAGCTCACAGCTGAAAGGCTTGAAGCCCGTGTGCTTCCGGCTGTGGGTGATGAGGTTGGAGCTCTGGCTGAAGGCCTTCCCACACACCTGGCACTTGTGTGGCTTCTCACCTGTGGCAGCAGAGACAGGGTCAGGGTCGCCTGGGCCAGGTGCCCTGCATTTTTTCTCTGGGACTTTATTATGTTTTATCTCACATTCGCTTTTGAAAATTATTAGAAAAGGGAGGCAAGAAAAAGTCTGACCACCCACCCCTTTCAGGGAACTGTATCCCAGTTCTGGGTCCACTCTGTTTACCAGTGGAGCCCAGCACCTGGCCCAGGGCTCTGCCAAAAGAGGCGCTGGTCAGCAGCTGAGGAATGAATGACTGGGGGAATGAATGAATGGAGATACGAATGAACGGATGGCTGGAGGGGTGAATGGATGATAGAATGAATGGATGACCAGCTGTGGGAGGAATGAATGAGTGGAGGAATGAATGATAGGATGAGGAATAGAATGAATGTGGAAGTGAACTGGGGAATGAATGAATGACAAATGGGGAATGGATGAGTGGAGGAATGAACGAATGAATATCTGGAGGGACGAATGAACGATAGAATGGGGAATGAATGAGTGGAGGGATGAATGCATGAGTGTGGGTATGAATTGGGGACTGAATAAATGAATGCATAGAGGATGAAAGAAAGACAAATGGGGATGCATGAGTGGAGGAATGAATGAATGAGTATCTGGAGGGATGAATGAATGATAGAATGGGGAGGATGAATGAATGACAAGTGGGGAATGAATGAGTGGAAGAATGAGTGAAGGAAGGAATGATGGCGGCAGGAGGAATTCACCTGCCACTCTCACTTCTGCCCGTGGGTCACAGTGCTGACATTTTGCTCTCTCCTTCCAGTATTTTTTCTGTGCATTTTCTTTCCTTTAAGCAGCACAGTGTCCGCCCTCCAGTTGGAGAGGAGCAGCCCCCCCTGGCAGCCTGACACCCCCCGCCCTCCCAGCAACCAGGTCCTAAAGCCTGGACCTTCGAACAGTGATCGGAGGGGACACTCAGAGGCTCGGCCTGGGCCCTGGGGGGTGCTTGGAGGGGCTGCGGGTGCCCGGGTGGGTGAGGGGCAGTGGGGTGGAGCGGAGCCCAGGCCTCACCGGTGTGGATGTAGGTGTGCTTTTTCATGTCGGACTTCTGGTGGAAGCGCTTGCCGCAGAACTGGCAGGGGTAGGGCCGCGTGTCCGAGTGGATGAGCAGGTGCGTGGACAGGGTGGACGAGCGCTTGAAGGCCTTGCCGCACATCCGGCACTCGAAGCTTCGCTCCTGCCGGAGGAAACGAGGCCCCAGGGGGTCAGGTGGGGCCTCGCGGCCCGGGGCTGCCAAGCTGGGTGGAGGACTGGACCCGGCCGGGATCCCCTGAGGAACAGGACACTCTGTTGGGGTGGCCTCGAGGACAGGGCCTGGAGGAACACGACGCAGGGCACCCCCATTCCTGCCCCTCCCAGGAGGGCTGAGCCTGGCGGCTGAGCAGCGTCCTGTTGGGGAACCTTGTGGTTTGCTTAAGAGTGAATTCTGGGGGCCCCGAATCTGGCTGCTGCCTCTTACTCGCCACATGACCTTGGGCAAGTCATTCAACCTCCCCGAGACTCAGTTTCCTCATTTGTACATTGGACTAGTGAGTAGTGACCTCAAAGGGTCACTGGGAGGATTGGAGGTCGAGAACTGAGCCGGCAGCTGGCGTGACTGCGAACGTGATCACGAACGGACGCTCTCACCGTCCCGGCCTGTTTCTCCTCCTGAGCTTTCAGATCTACCCAGGTGTTAGCCCTCAGGGCAGTATCAGGTGCTTTCCCTGGAACGGGATCCTGAAGAAAGGATCTTGGCATCAGGCAGGGCTAAGCGGATGAGATGAACATTTAAAGCTGACTCCCGGATTCCAAGAGTCAAGGGCCTCGAAGGGGAGAAACTTGCCCTGAGCGCCCAGGAGGCGGGGCCGCTCCTCAGCATCCCAGACACCCACCTGACATCCCACCCGAGCCCCTAGCCTCTTCCAGTTGTACGCAGAGCCGGCCTGGTCCGTCAGGGACTGTTAAGGGCAGTGGCTGGACACCCAGATCAAGGAGGCAGACGATAAGGGGCCCCAGTCTGTCACTCTCAGGGGCGTGGAGAGAGACCCACCCCAAGCCCCCAGGATTCCTGGGGAGAGCCCCGGGGCTCGTGTGCCCGGCCAGCTGCCCACCTGGGAGTGGACGTGCGTGTGCTGCTCCAGGCTCACGGAGTGGCCGAAGGTTTTCCCGCAGACGTCGCAGGCGAAGGGCCGGGTCCCGCTGTGCGAGCGGCGGGCGTGCACCTCCAGCCCATGGGGGGTGGAGAACACCTGTGGGTGGGGGCGGAGCGTGAGGCCCGGGGGGCCGCAGAGGGGAGGGGGCGCCCAGCTCGGCCGCAGGCGGACGTCCAGAGGAGGGAGCAAGCCAGCCATGACTGGATTGCTGACTCTGCTGGCGCGCGTGTGTGTCCTGGGAAGGTCTCTGTCCCTCTCTGCGTCTGGTTTTCCTGGCTATAGAATGGCCTGGGAGGGCGGATCTGTAAGGCCCCTTCTGGCCCTGTCTGGAGGCTGAATTGCCTGGTGGTTAAGACGCAGGAGTTGGGCAGAGCCAGGTGGGCATGGTGGTTCTGATAGCTACTTGCTGTGTGTTCTGGGGCAAGTGACTCAACCTCTCTGAACTTTAGCCCTTCGTCTACCTCCTGGAGCTCATGCACATCAAGTGCTTAGCACAGGGCCTAACACGCGGTCAGGGCTCAGAGTGATGATGAAGACGAACACTGTGAATTCTTGATCCCACCAGAGGACCCGAGTCACAGCACAGGGGGGGCCCAACTATGGACACTCGTGGCTGCCAGGGTGCTGGGGAGGGGGTGTGAGCAGGGCCCGGCTGCCCACCTTGCTGCATTTGATGCAGTGGTACGCGTCCATGCCCGGGGAATAGTGGAGGCTGAAGTCCAAGGGTGGCTCGGCGCTGGGCACCAGAGGGCTGCCATACAGGCTGACGGAGCGCTCCAGGAAGGCGGACTGCATGGTGGAGGGGGCCTGCCGGTAGTTGTGGCCATAGGAGGAGGCCAGGGCGTCCCAGGAGAAGCTGGGCTTGTAGAACGGGGGTGAGTCAGAGGAGGGCGAGTCCCCATCCTGGGGTCGGGACGTCACAGCAGGTCCTTCTGTGGAGGGTGGGATGTTCGTCTAGTGGTGACGCTAAGAACGGGGCGCCTGCTCCCCGCCACCCTCCACCGTGACCCCACACTGATGGTTTGGTGTGCAGCCCAAATTATTTACTGCGGGGGGAAGGTCTGGGTGCTCACTGTGACTCCTCAACTTTTCAGTCCAAAAAATCACCCCAACCCCTGCAGAGGGTCCACCTCACCCACTGTGTGGGCCCGCCCAGCCTGCCCAGCCTGCCCACCACACAGGATTTCTCATCGGGGAATAAACTCGCCATCCTGGAGGGATCCAAGCAGAAGCCCGAGAGCCCGGACTGTCAACCCTTCCTGACTCCACAGCTCCAAGGGACCCTGCCCACCCTCTGAGTCCCCTTGTGCCCACTGGGGAGAGGCGGGGGCCCCGGGCTGGGCACCTGGGCCCGAGGACATCCGGGTCATCGAGCTCTGCTCCAGCTCCAGCTGCGGCTCCTGTTTGAGGTCCGTCCAGTCCAGGTGCTGGTTTGGGAACAGGGAGCTAAGGACAGGGATGGTGCTCGGGACCTGGTCTCTGGCCACTGTAGGGGAGACAAGATGGTCAGACTTTAGCTCTGCTTAGAGATCTGGTAAGAGTTGGGGGGTGGGGGGACACCAGAGAGAGACACCCTGCGGCTGCTCCTGGAGAGTCACACTCAAGGGCTTCTACCCAGGATGCTGGGAGCAGGGTGGAGACCAGGAGGAGCCCCCCACCCCTACCCCCTGGAGAGCTCCATTTTTCCAAGCACCCAACTTCAGCCCTGGATCAGCCCTCCAATCACAAATCACGTGTCAGCTGCTGAGGACCAGATCCAATCAGGATGCGCTCATCACCCCCCACAGGCTGAGAAGAGATGGGGCAGCCATCCATCCATTCATTCATTCAACCAGCATTTACTGATCTCCTCCTGATTGCAGACTCGGAAGAGAGGCTACTTCCAGATGGGATGCTCCTGCCTCCCCCTCTCGTGGGGCAGCAAGGCAGGTGGGTGCGGCCTTGGACTCACCAGGGCCAAGGGCCGGTGGCCAGAGCAGCTCATCCTCCCGGGCACGGGGCTGGTGGTAGGTGTGAGCCTTCTTGCTCTTCACCAGGAAGGAGCGTGGCATTGTCAGCGGGTGCCCCACACCTACTGGGAGAGAGGGTGAGAAGGGTTAGGTGGGACAAGAAGGAAAATGCTCCTTTATGTTTCACGGCCTCCTCCTAAAATCAGAATCCACTGAATTGGGTTGGATGAGCGTGCCTGAGTGCTCAGCCACTAAATCTTGTCTGACTCTTTGGGACCCTGTGATCGCCCCTCAGGCTCCTCTGTCCATGGGATTTCCCAGGCAAGAATACAGGAGTTCATTTCCATTTCCTCCTCCAGGGGATCTTCCCAACCCAGGGATCGAACCCGTGTCTCCTTCATTGACAGGCAGTCTCTTTACCACTGAGCCAGCAGGCAAGCCCTCCTGGGTTGAATGGTGTCCCCTTAAAGTTCGCGTCCACCTGGAACCTGTGACTGTGACCTTGCTTGAAAATAGGGTCTTTGTAGATGCAATCAAGTGAAGCTGAGGTCACATCGGGTTCAGTGAAACCCTAGATTCAACATGACTCGTGTCCTAAGAAGAAGGAAATGTGGACACACGAGCCAGATGCAAACAGGAAGGCCACGTGGAGATGGAGGCGGGGGCTGGAGGGATGCAGCCCCGAGCCAGAGCTAGCTGGCCACCACCAGAAGCCAGGAGAGAGGCCTGAAATGGACCGTCCCTCAGAACCTCTAGAAGGAGCTGACTTTGCCGACACTCTGACTTGGGATTTCTAGACTCCAGAACCCTGAACAATCTGCTCCTGGGTGTTAAGCCACCTGGTTTGTGAGCTTTGCTTTAATATTTATTTGTACTGAGTTAGTTACTTCTCTGGTGGCTCAGATAGTACAGCATCTGCCTACAATGTGGGAGACCCGGGTTCAATTCCTGGGTCGGGAAGATTCCCTGGAGAAGGAAATGGCAACCCACTCTAGTACTCTTGCCTGGAAAATCCCATGGACAGAGGAGCCTGGTGGGCTACCGTCATGGAGTCGCAAAGAGTCAGACACGACTGAGCGACTCCACTTCCCTTCAGTTGGCTGCACCAGGTCTCAGCTGCAACTCGCGGGAACTTTGATCTTTGATCTTTAGCTGTGGCCTTCCGGATCCAGTTCCCTGACCAGGGATTGAACCCAGGCCCCCTGAATTGGGAGTGCTGAGTCTCAGTCACTGAACCACCAGGGAAGTCCTGGTGTTTCGTTATGGCAGCTACAAAGCCTAACGTCCCTCCCTGCTCTCTTGCTGGGAAACCAATACACTCCCTTCTAGAAGATCCCAGATCAGACTGCTCCTGCCGCATGCCCTGAGTTATGCTGGGAACAGAGAATGAAGGCCAGGGGTACCTCCATTTGTGACCCACTGTGGACCCTGCGCCCAGAAAACTGCTTCCTCATCCCACTGGGGTCTGCATTCAGAGACTGTGGAAACTTGCGGTCTGAGCTCAGTTTGGGAGTCAGATGCTCGCAGGTTGGAATCCCAGCTCACCTGCTGTGCAGTTTGGGGCCGTCGCTTAACCTCTCTGGGCCTGTTATCTTTTCTGTAAAGGGTGGCCTCCAGGTTCCGGAGGCCGGTGAGCCCACTGTGTGCGCTCAATGCCTATCAGAGGGGATCCTGGCAGGTGGGCTGCAACGGGGGAGGCCACGACGATCGCAAAACCCACACAATCGATCGTGTAAGTCGAGAGCTGATGCCGCCCTGGTCCACGGCCCAGCCCAGGGCCTGCTCCCCAGGGAAGGAGGGGGCCTTTTCTCTCTCGCTGTGGGTGGAGGGGATGGTTGGAGCTGTATGCGGGGCTCAAGGCTCGACGCTGGAGGCCTGAGGTCATTTTGTGCACACGGAGGAGGAGGTCAGTGTCTACCAAGTGCGGGGACTGAGCCCCGGGCAGCCCAGGCCCAGCACTCAGCTGGCAGGTCAGCGGCCGGGCGAGGGCAGAGCCAGGCCAGCCTGAGCGTTCGGTCCTCCTGGCTTCGGGTGCAGAGCCCTCTGGGGCACAGAGCAGCTGCGGCCCCTGTCCCCAACGTCTGTCACCTCCCCGATCCCAGCCATGAGGGTCTCCTGAGGAGACAGAGCATCATCAGGTGGTTCTCCATCTGCCCAACCCCCAGGCCCGTGCGGGCAAAAGTGGGAGGAATTATTAGTCACTGCCTGTCCACCAACAGCTCTGCTTGGGCCTGGAGGAGGAGTCACGCTGGGCAAGACTGCGGGCGTGATAGGGCTAAGCGCGGGAAAAAGAGCGCGGGAAACAGCTAGCACGGAGCTCCGAACAGCAGCAAGGCTCTGGGTGATAAGGCGTGGCCGGGGTGGGGGGCTGGGAGCCGGCAGATTAGAGAGCGCCTGGAGCCCTGCCTGGGGAGCCGTCCCGATCACCCCTTCCCCAAGGGGACGACCCAAAGCAGGCACCAACCGTGCCCAGCCCGCCTGCCCCTCTGGGGGCAGCAGGAGTCTGGGCCGTGGCCGCTCCGCCCTGGGGGGCCGTCTCAGGCCCAGCCCCCACCTTGATGGAAGCCTCAGTGTCCAGATCTGCTGAATGGGGATCACAAACCAGCCTCCTGGGGCTACTGGGCTGAGAAAGACCTTTAATTATTGCAAGCGTGTAAGGGGCCCGGCGTGGTGCCCTGGGGGGCCTCGGCCTGCGGAGCAGAGGCTCGGTTGGGGCAGGCGCTGCGTGGTCCTGCTGGGTCAGGTGGCATCTCCGGTGTCTCGGCTGAAGCCAGCCGGCATGGATGGGCACGGGACACACTCCAAGTCCCTCCCCTCCGGGCTCTGAAATGAGGGGGTGGGACCTGAAGGCCTCCGGGGTCCCGTCCAGCTGTCAGATTTTGACCTCAAAGGCCAGGCCGGCCTGCCGTCTTCCCCAGGCTGTGGGGCAGCCGCGGCCGCCTTATCTCCCAGCGACAGTCTTCTTCCTCCTGCCTCCCCGTCTCCCCCCACCCAGGGCTCCCCACACCCCCTCTTCCTTCCCCCTTCTAACTCTTGGCTTTGGGAGCCCCCCTCCCCGCCCCTAGAGGAGGCCAGACCCCGGGCAGAGTGGGAGGAGACCTCCACACTCTGGGGGAGGGCGGGGGGGGGGTGCTGGGTTCGCCTTGCCTTTTGTTCTGGGGGGCCTCCAAAACCGTGGTCTGTCTTTCAATCAAAAGATGATTAAAAAAAAAAAAACACAGCATTTTATTAGTTGATCAACTGGAACCGGAGGTAGGTGTTGGAGCCACCACTGAGCTAGAACAGGGGAATGCTTCTCGCAGCCTCAGCTCGGATCAGCCTGGCGTGTGAGCTGGGTAGCCATGGCCCCATTTTACAGAGGAAGAGTTGAGGCTTAGAGACTGGCTCAAGGTCCCAGAGCAAGGCGGAGCTAGACTGAGAGGTTCACCTCCCGGGCCTCTGTGCTCTTGACTGTCAGACCACAGGGTGGGTGCTGGTTCAGGACAGAGGGAGCTGAGCTGAGAAGCTAAGGAGGAAACCCTGACAGTGTGGGGTCACCGACTCTGACCCCCACCAGGCGAGGGAGGCAGTGATCGTAGTCGCGGGTCACAGGGGGACACCCGAGGCTGACAGAGACACGTGGCTTGTCCCAGGCCTCGCGCCGGGGCTGGGCCCATCGCCCCTGCCCTGAAGGGCCTGGATTCCTGGCCCCGCGCTCTACTGAACTGCGTGCGATCCTTCCAACACTGAAGATCGCCTGCCTGGAGCAGGGAGGGGAAGACTCCCTGGAGGGGCAAGAGTGGGGAGGGGAGGAAGACAAATTCTCTGTCTTTGGTCTTTTTAGGAACCCAGCCAGCCCCACTTGGGTTCATGAGGAGTTTGGGGTGGAGAGGCTGGTGAGAGAACAGACTCCTTTTAGGAAGCTTCCGGGACCACTTGGACTCAACCGGAAGAGACCCTCGAGGTCAGCTGATGGGAATTCAGGTGATAAAACAACGGCACTTCTGGGATTTGGGGGCACTTAAACAAGAGAGCAAGGGGGTCCCTGTTTCTGGGGTTCCCCAGATGGAGGAGGGTTTCCCGAGGCCTACTCTAGGGATAACCCCCACTCCCCACCCCCTCCCCCTCCCTCCCTAGAACATTCTCTCCGCTAAGCCTGGCAAACTGACAGCGGCACAGTCAAGCCTACAGCTGAGCCATCAAGCTCCCCGTGGGGGCCAAAGGCACCCAGAGAACTTCCTTCTGGCCCCTGTGAGCTGAGTTTAAAAAAAAAAAAAAACAGGAACCAATCACCTATACTATAGTTAATTAACAACCACACCGTTTTGATTCACACGAACCTGTTATGAGAAAGAACTAAGAGCAGAGATTGTGAAAGAAGCCCAAGATTTCTTCATAAAACAGAGGCCTTGATGGTATCGGGGCCTCCGGAAAGAGCCTCGTTGTTAATATCTCTTCAGAAACCCCCAATCCTGATAGAGGGTTCCCCCCCCCCACCCTGGCCCCAAGTCAGAATCTCGGCCAGTGCTTCTGAAGGGGGCAGCCCTGCACCCCGACTTCCACTTGGAGCCAGAGCAGCTGCCCTGGGGTTTCCACGCAACACGGCACCTCCCGAGCTGCCGAATCAGGTTCTGTGACCTTGAACTTGACCCTGTCTGCCACCAACCTGGGGCTTGGTTTTCCTATCTCAAAAGGACGGTTGGACTAAGAGATTTCTAAACTTCCCTTTTGCTCTAAAATCCCATGCTGGGGTTCGTTGTCTCTGAGCGCGGGACTGACCCACCTTGACTAAGAAACTCATCACTTGGGTTCCCTTTTTGGGAGGGTTGAGAAAGCCTCCATTTCTCAGCGTCTGCTAGGAGGGACCCCTGGACTTCCTTTATGTTTGAAGACACAACTCAAGGGGAAACACATACAAACAAACAAGCCACTCATTCCATGTAGGAGGCAGGGGGCATGAGCCCTGGTCCCTCTCAGGGCCCCAGCAGAGAGTGGGCATTAGTTCTACGTGAAATTCGGAAGAATCTCAAAAGCCTCTTTGTAAGTTCAAAGAATGTAATGTCAAAAAGGATCCCTGGTGGTCCAGTAGCTAAGACTGTGAGCTCCCAATGCAGGAGGCCGGGGTTTGATCCCTGGTCAGGGAACTAGATCCCACATGCTGCAACTAAGACCCAAGACAGCCAAATAAAAGGAAAAAAAAAAAAAAGAATGGATGAATCCACCTCTGGGTATATACCCCAAAGAATTGAAAGCAGGGATTTGAACAGATATTTGTACCCCCAGGTTCATAGCAGCATTATTCACAATAGCCAAAAAAGGTGGAAAAAACCCAGATGCCCGTTCATGGATGAATGGATAAACAAAATGTAGTCTAGACATAGAAAGGGAATATTATTCAGTCTCCAAAAGAAAGGAGATACTGGCCCATGCTACAGCATAGATGAACAATGAGGTCATCACACTGCTTGAAATCAAGTCAGACACGGAAGGACGAATGCCGTATGATTCTACTTCTGTGAGTTACTTAGAGTAGTGCAGTTCAGAGACAGACAGCAGCCCGGTGGGGCCAGAGGCTTGGGGGGGGGGGGGGGGGAAATTCGGAGTAACTGTGGAATGGGGACAGAGTTTCAGTTTTTTGCAAGATGAGAAAGGTTCTGTGAATGGACAGTGGTGATGGTAGCACCACAAAGTGAATGCACTAAACGCCCCTGAGCTGGCCAGTTCAAAGATGGTTCAAACGGTCCGTTTCATGTTATGTGCCATTTACCTCAATAAAAACAAAAGGGAGTGAACAAAACATTTCCCCAGCATCTCTAAACGAGAGACTAAGCTGCTCCCATGAATTTGAATTCCTTGAATCAAAGGAACAAAACCCCTTTAAGACTGAGGAGGGGTAAAGTTTTCTCTTGTTTCTGAAAAGGGTTGAGAGGTTGTATCATAGTGAAGCATCGCATGGGATCAGGCTGGCTTTCCCGGGTTGGGGGCGGGGGGGCTGGCGATCTGACTCCCAAGACTCTCCGTGAACCCCCTACCCCACCCCACCCCACCGTCCGGGCAGCCTGGAGGGAATGCTCTGCCCTGGTTTGGAGTGGCTCCATCAGTCAAACCTAAGCAGGTAGAGCTCTCTGGTGATCCCCAAGAATTTTCTGCTGAGAAACTGATATTCTGACCCCCAAAGCTTTTTTTTTTTCCTTTTGGCTGCTCAACTTGCCAGATCGTAGTTCCCCGACCAGGGATGTGATTGAACCCATGCCCCCTATAAAAGAAGCATAGAGTGCTAACCACTGGACCTCCAGGGAACCCCTTCTGCCCCCCAAATCTGAGTTGGAAGAAACCTCACACATCTTCTTATGAAAGAATCCTTTCTGAACCACCTCTGAGGACCAGAAACTTGCCCCCTTACTAAGACTGAAATCTTTTTTCTTAAGTGGAATTTTATTGGAGTTTAGTTGCTTTGGGGGGCGATGGGAGCCACGCCGCACAGCATGTGAGATCTTGGTTCCCCGACCAGGGATCGAACCAGTCCACCCATGCACTGGAGCTTGGAGTCTTACCCGCTGCGGGGGCAGTCCCTGAAATCTTCTCCCCATTGTCCACTTAGCAACGTGTAGGGAGTGAGCCCACCTGGGCAGGTGCAACTCGCCTGGCTTCCGCCAGACCCGCGCCTGGAACCGGCAGGTTAATTCGTGTACCCCTCCCCACCACGGTATCTCATTAACACCGTGGACGCTCTTCCCAGAAAAATGTACACAGGCACATAGCCACAGACATTCTTAACAAGCCCCCCTTAACAAGCCCTAGTTTAGAGCGAGCGCCTCTCCCCACGCAGATTCTGTCTTGGCTTCATCAAAATTAGGTAGACGAGGCTGAGGCACCATCTCTCACCGTGTCTTGCTCCTGGAGGCTGGGTTACGCTGGAGAGGGCAGCCCCCCCCCCCCCCCCCCCCGAGGGGCTCTGACGAGAAGAGCATCCCTCTCCAAGCGTCCCAGGAACTCTAGTGAAATTTGCCTGGGACTCTGGGTGCTGAAGCTTTGCTGAAAGTTGCCTGGGACTCTGGATGCTGAAGCTAGGACTCCGTTCAGAGTCCTCAACCCCACTCTCTCATTTCACAGCCAAGAAAGGCTCAGAGTGCCCTGGGGACAGACCCAGTCGGAGCCCACAGGTGGTGGACGCTGCGGGGCACCTCCGCGGGTGACCCGCCTTGCCTGTCCGGGTCCCTGGGAGAGCTGGGGTGTGGGTGTGACTCTTTGCAGGCAGGTGACCTCTCTCAGCCTAAAATCAAATCTTCAAAGGGTGTTCATGGGACTTCCCTGGCGGTCCAGCGGTTAAGACTCTGAGCTTCCACCGGTTCGGGTTCGGGTTCTACCCTGGTCGGGGAAACTGGGCCAAACAAGCAAACAACAACAAAAACACCCCCGGTGATCACCCGCAGTTGGCGGAAGGTAATTCCTACCAGGTACGCGGACTGGAAGCATCTCAGCTAAGACTGCTTCCTTGCCATCTATTCTCTGGGCTCGAGAGCTGAAAGCCACATTCCACAAAAGAGATTTTTTTTTTTCCAGCCCACCTTAGTCTTCTGAGGACTGCCAAAGGGACTAGGTAACCTACTTGGAAACAATCTCTAAGTGAGATATGCAAATTTCAAAAGGAAAGGCGGGGGCGTTCTCAGTACTCACCTGTCGGGAGCCGGTCCGCTGGGGAGAACCTGGTTGCGTCTCTGCGGATCAGCGCCGCCCGGTCAATTCGTGACTCTCGGCACAAATAGATACTTCTCCTTTTTTTTTTTTTTTTCCCTTCCCACCCTCTGTGTGTGTATGTGTGTGTGTGTTTTCCTCTTCTGTTCCCCTCCCTGATTTTCAATCTGATTATTTGTGTCAAAATCTGGCGGCGAAGGAACAGCCAATGGAGACAGCGCGAGAGCGCGGAGCCCTATTTGCTTATCAAAACTCTCCAGGACTCCCCATTCTCTTCTCTAAACCTTCACTCCGGGAGCTGCACTCTCTCTCCGGAAATTTTAAACAACTTGTGGATTTTAACAGTGATGGCTAAATCCTTAAAATTTTAAAAAGTGAAGTTGAAATGCAACATTTACTTAAAAACCTGACCTTGCGTAGAGAACTCATTGAGTTAGTCTCTTTTTCTTTCCTTCTTTCTTTCGCTTTCTTCCCTGTTTTACTTCTTCTCTTTCTTTTCCTTTCTTTCCACCCTCCCTCCCTCTCTGTCTTCTCCTCGCCTTCCTCTGCCCCTCCGTGGACTCAGCTTCCCCAGACCTCGCCTAGGAAGCCGCTGGCTCGCGCTGCTGCAGACTGCTTTCAGAGGGGCCCCCTCTTGTCCTCGCAGAAGTCGCCGTAAAGAAAAAAAAAAAAAGTCAAAATTCACGTTTCCCGAGGCTTGACCCCAGATTGAGTGAGGAGCCGCGGGCGTGGTACTGAGCGTGGGCGCTTCCCGCAGCGCTGGGACCCTCAGCCGCCGGGCGCGCCGGGCGGGCGCGCTCCGGTCCCGGGGCCCGCGAGTGCTGCCGCCTGGTGGCCGAGGGGGGCACGGGGCGGGGCCGGCCTGCAGCTGTCCCGGCCCCGCGGGAAGGCTGGGCGGGCCCGTGGGGGACATTCCAGCCCCTTTGGCACAGACGTTCTTTTGAGCTTCCCTGGTGGGAGACGTGGGTTCGATCCCTGGGTCGGGAAGATGCCCTGGAGAAGGAAATGGCAACCCACTCCAGCACTCTGGCCTGGAGAATCCCATGGACGGAGGAGCCTGGTGGCTACACTCCATGCGGTCGCAAAGAGTCGGACACGACTGAGCGACTTCACTGGCACAGAGGTCCACCCCTGACCTCCTCTCTCCTCCCCGGCCCTTCAAACCTCCTCCTCCTCCTCCGGCTTACGGGAGGGCTGGTTTGTTGCAGGAGGTTTTGCATACGGGGAGAACTCACAGAATAGAGCACTGTTAGGCTAATTTGCATGCTCTGCCAGCCAGCCGCGCTGGAGAGATTGTGTTTCCCTCCTAAAGAAAACAAGTTTGGCGACAGGAAGCCCCGACCCAACTGGAGGCCAAGGTCCGAGCTGGAGAGAAAGAGGGGCGGGGTTCGGAGCAGAGGTCTTACTGCGCAGGGCCAGCCGGCAAGCGCCAGCCCTCGAACGGGTCAGGGCCTGGCTCCCAGGTCAGAGGGTCCACAGGCCACCGGTCTCTCTTCTTGGTGGGGAGAGAGTAGTGGCAACGCCTGGAATTTTCCCTGCATCCCGTGTTTTGCCCACAGTCACCTGGAGTTATTTGTTGTTATGCAGAAAATTTGACAAATAGTTCAAGGACATGAAGAAACACAAAAGATAGGGAATCCCCCGGTAGTGTAGTGGTTAGGACTGCTTTCATGGCCAAGGGTCCAGGGAACTAGACCTCACAAGCAGTACAGCGTGCCCTCCCCAATTTTTTTTTAGAAAAATGATCACATTAGAAATAAAAAATTATAAATAATTCAAGGACTTGTCTCTTAATTCATTTCACTATACACACAAGCTCACATTTTGCTACTGTGAATTAGTTGGTCTTTTTCCTTCCCCTCACTGAATGTTATTTTGTTTAAATACTGCCCAAATTCTCTTGTGGCTTTTATTAACATGTTTCATGATTTCACAGTTTTTCATGGCTTACCTTACTCACCGCTTCCTCCATTTGGGCCATTTAGTTGCATGGGGTATTTTCTAATGTAAAGCCGTTGTATCAGGCATGTGCAGCTAGCTCTTGTTCTGAGATGTAATCCCACTTGGGGTCCTTCTCTTCTCCCTTGAGTTACCAACTCAGGGAATCCCTTCTTAGACCAGGACCCCAGCCTGCATGCAGAGGCAAGCCTTCCCTAGAGCTGCCTGTGTGTGTGTGTGTGTGTGTGTGTGTGTGTGTGTGTACGCTCAGTCATGTCTGACTCTTTGTGACCCCATGGACGGCAGCCCGCCTGGCTCCTCCGTCCATGGGACTCCCCAGGCAAAAATACTGGAATGGGTTGCCATTTCCTTCTCCAGCATTTGACTAGACAGACTTTTTGTCAGCATGATGTCTCTGCTTTCTAATATGCGTCTAGGTTTGTCACAGCTTTCCTTCCAAGGAGCCGCGTCTTTTAATTTCACGGCTGCGGTCACCATCCTAAGTTCCTTATGTTTCTCTTCAGCCAAAATGTGGTCATGAGGTTTAAGAGAATCTTTATAGGTGGAATCTTTAGCACTGCGCCACCCGGGACGCCCAGAGCCACGTGCAGCCCCCTCTAGGGGAGAGCAAGCGTTCAGGACCCCAGAGCCTGGGCACATTCAGCTGAAGCTGGGAGGCCCCGGGCCGCCTCCTCACATAGGCTCCTGCAGTGAGGCCCTGGCCTCCGGATCTCATCCAGGACTGCCTGCAGGGCCAAGACCACTCGCTTCCGTAGGCAGCCCTGGAGGTGAAATGCCCTCACTGAGCCTCTCCCAAGGGCCAGTCACACCAGCAGCCTCGTGCCCACTCATTCGTCCATTCCAGTTCTGTTGGCACCTTTCACATAGCAGGTGCCTCCTTCTCTTCTCCCCTCCCGCCAGCTAAAGCTTCCAGAACAAAAGCCCACAGACGGGGTGACTTAAATAACATTTATTTCTCACAGAGGCTGGGGAGTCCAAGGTCAAAGTGCCAGCAGATCCAGTCTCTGCTGAGGACAGGCTTCCTGGCTTGTAGACGGCCACCTTCTCACTGAGTCCTCACGTGGCAGAGAGAGGGAGAGCTCTGGCCCCTCTTCCTCTTCTTTTGAGGACTGTAATCCCATCCTGGGGTCCCAACCTCATGACCTCATTTTCCTTACTCATAAACCCATTTACCTTCCAAAGTCCCCACATCCAAACACCATCACATTCATTCATTGACACGGACACTCAGTCCATTACATCCTTTAGCTAATACATGTTTATTGAATACATATTAGGTACCACATGCTAGGGTTTCAAACAAGAACCAGACAGGAGCCCCAGTGAGCTTCTCCTTTGTCTAGAAAGTGGGACAGAACACACCAAAATTTACAATTTGGGGTAATAAGTGCTGTGATACAAACATGGTTTGCATGTAAGCAAGGAGCTTGGGGCATGGGGAAACAGACCCAGACTTGGGAGAGTTAATGAAAGTAGTGACATCTAAAACTGACACCAGACTGAGTTAGTTGGGTCGGGAAGGATGTACAAGAGTTGGAAGACAGGACCTTCAGACAAATGACAGCGGCCAAGTCCACTGTGAGTGGAGGAGGCGACTGGAGGAAGGGGACAGAAGGATAGGACATTCGAGAGATGAGCCTAGAGGGACTTCCCTGGTGGTCCAGGGGCTAAGACTCTGAGCTCTCAATGCAGGGGACCCAGGTTCAGTCCCTGGTCAGGGAACTAGATCCCACATAGCACAACTAAAGATCCCACTTGCCGCAGCAAAGACCGAAGATCTCACGTGCCGCAACTAAGACCCCTTAAAACCAAAAAAACACATAAGCTGTTGTCATGAAGTCACTCAGTTGTGTCCAACTCTTTGCAACTCCAAGGACTGCAGCATGCCAGGCTTCACTGTCCTTCTCTATCTCACATAGTTTGCTCAAACTCATGTCCATTGAGTCATGGACATGGTGATACTATCCAACCATCTCATCCTCTGTTGCCCCCTTCTCCTCCTGCCTTCAATCTTTCCCTGATACAAGGTCTTTTCCAATGAGTTGACTCTTTGCATCAGGTGGCCAAAGTATTGGAGCTTCAGCTTCAGCATCAGTCCTTCCAATGAATATTCAGGACTGATTTCCTATAGGATGGACTGGTTTGATCTCCTTGCAGTCCAAGGGACTCTCAAGAGTCTTCTCCAGCACCACAGTTCAAAAGCATCAGTTCTTCAGCACTCAGCCTTCTTTATAGTCCAACTCTCATATCCATTCATGACTACTGGAAAAAACATAGCTTTGACTATACAGACATTTGTCAGCAAAGTGGTATCTTTGCTTTTTAATATGCTGTCTAGGTGTGTCATAGCTTTCCTAAAAAAGAATTAAAAAAAGAGTCTGCCTTCCAATACAGGGGACGTGTGTTCAACTCTTGGTCAGGGAACTAAGATTCCAGATCCCACACTGCTGTGGGGCAACTAAGCCCATGTGCCGGCAACCAGAGGAAGCCTGAACCCTGCCTGCAACAAAGACCCAGTACAGCCAAAATTTAAAAAAAAGAAGAAGAGAGAGAGATGAGCGTAGTGAGGAAAGAAGGAACACTATGAGGAAGGTTCCTCCCTGATTTAAAAACCTTCAATGATTTCCCTTTACCTAATAGGACAAAAAAGCCTCAGCTTCAGAAGTTAGTGCTCACTGTATTCACAGCTTCAGAACTCTTTCAAATGGCAGCAGTTTTTCAGATGCAAGTTGCAGAAACCTGATTTAAACTGGTTTTAGAAAAACAAAACAATTTCTTTCATGTCAGTGAAAAGTGCCTGCTTCAGGTATGGTTGGATCCAGATGCTCAAGTGATACTGTCTGGATTCAGCCTCAGGACATTTGCATTTGTTATCCCCTCTGCTGGATGGCTTAACCCCAGATCTTCCCATGGCTGACTCCTTGTCATCCAGGTCGTGGCTGAAATGTCACGTCTGTGGCCAGATCTCCTTGGACACCAACTAAAGCAGGACCTTCCCATCCCAGGCACTTTCTGCTTCATCAGCCTTGCTCTTCTTGACATTCATAATTTTCTGAAAATATCTTGCGATTTCTTTCCTTTTTATTTATTTTGGGGCCCGACTGCCCACAAGGAATGTGAGCATTACAGGAGCAGGGGTTGCGTTTGCCTGGCTCACAGCTGAATCTCCAGTGCTTAGACCAGTGTGTGGCAGACACTGATGGCGTATTTATGGAATGAATGGATGGATCAATCAATGCATGAATACCTTACTTGCCACCTCTCAGTTTTGCTCTATCCTGGGGCTGAGATCCCCAACATTACTAGCTGTAGTCTATAAGCTTAGAACCTCCAGCCGAAAGATAGATGCTTTCTCAACAGTTTCAGTAAGAGGCCAGGGGCTGACTCTAATCGGCCCATCTCTGCACTATTCACTGTGGCAGAAGGAGGGATATGGGCCTCTCATTGGCCAGGGCTGGCCAACTTTCTGCTAAAACCACTCGAGAGTGGGAACAGGGCTTCGGCAAGGACACAGAAGAAGACCGTATAGACTGAATAAGGACACAGATTGAAGGCAAAAGGAGAAGGGGGCAGCAGAGGATGACACGGCTAGGTAGCATCACCAACTCAATGGACATGAATCTGAGCAAACTCGGCTAGATAGTGGAGGACAGGGGAGCCTGGTGTGCTGCGGGCAATAGGATCGCAAAGAGTCACAAACAACCCAGTGACTGAACAACCAGAACAGAATAAGGCCAGCAAGGTGTTTGGAGAAGCCTCCATTTTCTAACCATCCTTGTCACCTGAATATGTTGTATCCTTTTCTGCTGGAGATTGTTGAGTGAAAAACAACAACAAAATAACAACTCACAATCTAAAAGTTGAGAATTATGTTTTATTTGGAAAACGCAAGCCTGGGAGACAGCCTCTCAGCTCTGAGGGACTGTTTCAAAGAGAAGCCAGGATACATAAGAGTTTTTGTAAAAACAAACAATAACAGTCAGGCAGTTGAACGTCAAAAGATGACTGCTAACTAAAGAAAGTCCAGACATCTCAAGTTAATGAATTTAATGCTTTTCTACGTATGGGAAGAAGCAAGAGTCTGGGTTTAATGAAATTATTCCTTTGATATGCATCCTAACTCTCTAGGGCCAGTATCCTGTTTTTCTCCATCCTGAATCCCCTAGGGGGCGCCCTCGGGTGCCCCCAGTTGCCTTGAGAGGGGGGCTATTCTCTGGTTGGGGTACGCAGGGTTCCCATTGCGGGGGCTTCTCTTGTTGAGGAGCTCGGGCTCTAGGGCGGGTGGGCTTCAATAGCTGCAGTTCCTGGGCTCCGCAGGCTCAGTAGTGGTCACGCACAGGCTTAGTTGCTCAGGGACACGTGGGATCTTTCCGGATCAGGGATCAAACTCATGTCTCCTGCACTGGCAGGCAGATTCTTCACCACTGAGCCACCAGGGAAACCCCTCAGCTGCTTCTTAACGAGGCCAGCAGTGATCTGAGCGCAGGGACCCTGTGGACTCCGGTCTCAGCAGACAAGAGGCACACACCGACCTTGGCAAGTCTCCCCTGGGCTCTGCCTGGGGGGCGGCAGCGTTCAGGCTGTGCTCCTGGCACCAGCAGGCATCAGTTGCGTGACCTTGGGTACCTTCATGGCCTCGAGTTACGACGGCCACAGAATGCAGCAAACAGGAGCTGAGCCCACCTGCTCCTGCAACCTGAGGATGGACCAGGTGGTCTCAGCCACGCGGGTGGGTAGGGGGGCGCCCAGAGGCTGTCTCCCCATCCCCATCCTCCTCGACCTGCCTCCTGGTGCTGGAAAAGCACCCATCGCAGTCCTGTGGCGACTCAGTCATCCAGGGAGATTGGGGGGCCCTGTCCAAGCACAGGAACTGCAGGCAGCTGGGGCGCAGCAGGGGTGCGCGCCCACAACCGCACCAGCCAGGCGCCACGGGAGGCAGCAGTGCACAGAGTCGCCACACGGTGGCGCTGCTGCCCCCTTTACCGCTAAAAAAACTCAACTTGAAAACTGGCTATTTATTACTACTTATTTATCTACCTGGACTGCAAGGAAATCCAACCAGTCAGTCCTAAAGGAAATCAGTCCTGACTATTCATTGGAAGGACTGATGCTAAAGCTGAAACTCCAATACTGTGGCCACCTGATGTGAAGAACTGACTCATTGGAAACAGTGATGCTGGGAAAGATAGAAGGCGGGAGGAAAGGGGGACCACAGAGGATGAGATGGTTGGATGGCATCACCGACTCGATGGATATGAGTTTGAGTAAACTCCGAGAGTTGGTGATGACAGGGAAGCCTGGCATGCTGCAGTCCATGGGGTCACAAGGAGTTGGACGCGACTGAGCCACTGAACGGAACTGACCTGGGCTTGACTGGTGGCTCAATTGGTAAAGAATCTGCATGTGATGCAGGAGACGCAGGTTCAAACCCTGGATTGGGAAGATCCCCTGGAGAAGGAATGGCAACCTGCTCCAGTATTCTTGACTGGGAAATCCCATGGACAGAGGAGCCTGGTGGGCTACAGTCCATGGGGTCACAAGTCGGATACGACTTATCGACTAAACCACCACTACCTATTTATCTATTCACTTACCTATCCATCTACCTAATTATAGCTTAAAACACAAACACAAAATATGATCAGAGTAGAAAGAGGAAAATAAAACATGCACCTCCATCCTAATGTGTGCTCTCTCCCTCGCTCCCCACTTTCCCTCCTTCCGTCCCTCCCTGCGTCTTCCTCCCTCCTCCAGTCTCCCTCTCCCCATATATGTTAAACACAGGTGTGCATGTGTCCTAAGTTGCTTCAGTCATGTCCAACTCTTCGCAGCCCTAGGGACTGTAGCCCGCCAGGCTCCTCTGCCCATGGAGCTTCTCCACGCAAGAATACCGGAGTGGGTTGCCGTGTCCTCCTCCAGGGGATCTTCCCGACCCAGGGATCGAACCCAGGTCTCTTACATCTCCTGCACTGACATGCAGGCAGGTGCTTCCCTGGTGGCTCAGAGGGTAAAGAATCCGCCTACAATGTGGGAGACCTGGGTTCGATCCCTGGGTCGGGCAGATCCCCTGGAGAAGGGAACTACAACCCATTCCAGTATTCTGGCTTGGAGAATTCAATGGACAGAGGAGCCTGGCAGGCTACATAGTCCATGGGGTCACAGAGAGTCGGACATGACTGAGCAACTTTCACTTTTTCTTTACCACCAGCGCCACCTGGGAAGCTCATTAAAAACATATGTGGATACAATGTTTTTCAATTCAAACAGGTCTTTATTGGTCCTCTGCTCTTGGGCACCGCACAGGCAGTCTCTCCCTCAGTCCGTGAGCTCAACCCCCTCATCCTCTCGCCTCCACAGCTCTCTCGATGGGAATGGGCAGCATCCTGGAGGAGGACCAGCGGGTGGGGTTCTGGGGTGTCTTCAGGTCACAAGATAGCTGGTTTGCCTAGAGGCCTATGATAGGAAAGAGGGGTGCTGAGACTCGGGTGGGGAAGCTGAGGCTACAAGGGAAGAGCCTGCAAGGACCAATGCTCCTGCCTGACGCCTCCCAGCATTGCCGGCAGGAGCGTGAAACAGGGGACCCCGTTTCTAGGTTTAGGAAATAACCCGACGATCAAGCAACTTCTCGATCCTTCCTGGCTCCTTCTCCCCCACAGTGACTCCGTGGAGCCCTCTGGCAGGAGGCTGGGGAGGACCGGAGAGGGACAGTGACTGCACATCCCCAATTCAACCACCTGAGGTTTCAGGAGGGGAAACCGAGGCCTGGAGAGAGACTTGCCGAGGTCACACAGTTCCCGAGAAGCAGAGGCAGGACTCCTAACTCTTTGCCACAGCCCTTCCTAATGGAAACCCTTGCTGGATTGCCTCCCACCTAGAAAACTCACAGATGTTTATTATTTTTAATATTTTATTTATTTGGCTGTGCCAGGCCTTGGTTGCAGCATGCAGGATCTTTCCGGTTGTGGCTCATGAAAATCTTCATTGCCACATGCCAACCCTTAGTTGCAACATGTGGGATCTAGTTTCCCCGCCAGGGATTGGGCCTGGGGCCCCCACATGGGGAGCTCGGACTTGGCCACTGGACTGCCAGGGAAGTCCCCCGTAACTTGTATAGGTTTTTATAAAGTGTGAGACCCCAGTGGCAACTAGTAGAGCAGATAACATCTGATTCTCCAGCCAGTTGGGTGCAATGCGAGCACCACTGTGGCCCTCAGACCTCGGTTGCACCTGGCCTTGACACTCACCAGCTGCAGACCATAGGCAGGCACTGGCCTTCCCGAGCCTCAGAACTGCTGTTTCTAAAATGGAGCCAAGATAAAGCTTCCCTTGGAGCTGCAGGTAGCAAATGAAAATAATACATGCAAAACGTTTTACACATGCTGCTGCTGCCAAGTCACTTCAGTCGTTTCCGACTCTGTGCGACCCCATAGATGGCAGCCCACCAGGCTCCCCCATCCCTGGGATTCTCCAGGCAAGAACACTGGAGTGGGCTGCCATTTCCTTCTCCAGTGCATGAAAGGGAAAAGTGAAACTGAAGTCGCTCAGTCGTGTCCGACTCTTAGCGACCCCATGGACTGCAGCCTACTAGGCTCCTCCGTCCATGGGATTCCCCAGGCAACAGTACTGGGGTGGGGTGCCATTGCCTTCTCCTTACATATGCTACAGTGCTTTAAATGAGTGGGGTAGCACATCTCAGCAGAAATCCTCAACAGCAGACTCTAGAACTCCGCCCTTTCTCCCTCTCACTGGACAGTCCGGAAGCCTGAGCTGCTGGGGGCAAACGAGCGAACGAGGCGTGTCGGCCTGACTCCTGGCAGGTGGGCTGTGCTCCTTTACACGGTAGGTTGATTATTAATGAGACCCATGGCATCTGGTTACTGCGCTGTGAACCCTCCGGTGACTTCCGCGTTTGTGTTCTCTGGACACGCACAGGAGGCCGTGGGCGTGGAGGAAGGAATAAAAGTCCCAGGGACGTTTACCCAGGCCAGAGAGGCTGCAGGGCCTTCGCAAACCTTGTGTCTTTCAGTCTCGGGGAGCAGTTGGTCCCTAGGAATTACTGACCGAATGATGGGAAGGGCAAGCCCAGGGGCAGCTGGCACTGCAGTCAAGTCCGCGTGGTGATGTGTGTGTGTATGTGGGGGGGGGGGGGCATCTGCCAGACCCCACCCGGGCAAGGACCCCACCTCCTATTCCTCAGTCCAGCTCCACGACAAGCACACGACAGCATCAGAAGCTCATGTGTGTTATCTGACGCAAGTTTGTCAGATAAACTTGCACCACCAAGCAGTGTGTGAGTATCTGAATATGTGTGTGTGTGAACTTGTGTGTGGGGGGTCATGAGCCAGCCTGAGGAGGGTGAAAATCACCCCACGGATCCTCACCTCCCTGGTCAGGCCCCCCTACTGCAGGCAGTGGCCTTGGAGCCTGGATCAGCAAACAGAGTTTTCTGTGGCTGCTGAGATGGGAGAGACTCTGTCTTTCCCCACATCCTACGTGGGTCAGGGGTCTCTGGGCCTGGGGCATAGCTTCAGCCTCCAGATCAAGGAAACAAAGCCTCAAAGGAACCCATGAAGAAGTGAGAGCCGAGGATAGACATTCAGGACGATGCACGCACCTCTGCAGAGAACTGGACATGCAACCCCATCTGGGCAACAGCATTCTATCTCAATGCTGATCAGCACCAGGAGTGTCCTGCAGGGGGCGCTGCCTTCCAGCCACTAGGATTTGCACTAAATTTACATCTGTTTTGCATGTACCTTCAGAGGTTTTCAAATTACCGTTGTATCACTGTCCCCTGAAGGGTGAGCGTTTTTTCATTCCTGATGCTTCTTGTCATCCCAAGAGCATGTAGGGAGGTCTCCTCCTCTGAAGAAAAGGATGTAGAAGCTGGGAAGAGGGTGAGGACCCTCTTGAAGTCTTGTGACTACAGTTGGTACATGCTTGAAAGGTGGTCTATGTACACATTTCTGCAAGATGACTGGTTTGCGGTTTAAAAGGACACGTGTGGTAAGCTCATTTGGAAAGTAGGAAAGAATCCATTATAAGCCACCCCGCCCAGATCCAGCCATTCCACTCCCAGATATGTACCTGAAGCATCAAGGCAGGGACTCAAAGAGACACCTGTAAGTCCATCTTTCCAGCAGTCGTATTCATAACAGCCAAGCAGAGGAGGCTGCCCAGTGTCTATCAGCAAATGAATAAGTAAACAAAACACAGTATATGTGTACAATGGAATATTATTTAGCTTAAAAAAGAAGAGAATTCTGGGGACTTCCCTGGTGGTTCAGTGGTAAAGAATCCAACTTGCAATGCAGGGGACGCAGGTTCAATCCCTGCTCAGGGAATTAAGATTCCACATACTGCCGAGCAACAAGGCCCGCAACCCACAACTGCTGAAGCCCATGCACTCCGGAGCCCGTGCTTCACAACTGGAGAACCCATGCACCACACTGAAAGATCCTGCGTGCCACAACAAATAAATGAAGGAGGAGAATTCTGACACGTGCTGTAACACAGCACATACGAGCCTTGAAGACACCCTGTTAAGCTTAATAAACCAGTCACAGGACAAACACTTAATTCCACTTACACAAGGTATCTGAAGAAGTCAAAATCACAGAGACAGGAAGCCGAATACTGCCTGCTAGGGGCTGGGGTGAGGACATGAGCTATTAAATAGGTACAGAGTCTCTATTTTACAAGAGGAGAAAGTCCTAAAGACGGATGGTGATGGCTGGTTGCAGAACAATGTGAACGTGCTTAACGCCATTGAACTACACACACTTGAAAATGGTTAAAATGTAAATTTTATGTTATGTGTAGTTTTTGTTGTTGTTGTTCAGTCACTCTGTCGTGTCTGACTTTGCAATCCCAAGGACTGCAGCACACTAGGCTTCCCTGTTCTTCACCATCTCCCTGAGTTTATCCAAACCCATGTCCATTGAGGGGGTGATGCCATCCAACCATCTCACCCTCTGCTGTCACCTTCTCTTCCTGCCTCAATCCCTCCTAGCATCAGGGTCTTTTCCAATGAGTCGGCTCTTTGCATTAGACGGTCAGAGTATTGGAGCTTCAGCATCAGTCCCCCCAATGAATACTCAGGGTTGATTTCCTTTAGGATTGACCGGTTTGATCTCCTTGCTTGCTGTCCAGGGAACTCTCATGAGTTTTCTCCAGCAACACAGTTCAAACCATCCTGCCCAAACCTTTATTTTTCACAGACACAGAGAGTGAGGGTGAAGCCCAGAGAATCCCACCATCTCGTGATGAGGATCTCTGATTTCCCTTTTCCACGAAGTCCAATTATTTTTTGATCTTCCAATATTTTTCAAGATTAGTTTATTATGAAACATTTCCAACAGGAAAGTGAATGAAATATGTCTAATGAACACCTATATACCCCCCTCTGTTATTCTACAATAATCATTTGCAAACTGTGCTTTATCTTTCTATATGCATTTGTAAGTGTATATAAATGTGTTTTGTTTTGATAAAACATTTTCAAGTTATATTGCAGACAACATGACACTTCGCCCATTAATACTTGAGCACATATCTCCTAAGAACAGGTATTCTTACATCATCACATAACTGTCATGATCACACCTAAGAAAACTGTCAATAATTTCCTGGCATCTCTGAATATTCAGTTCATATTCACTTTTTTCCCCCAATTTCCCCCAATTTCCTTCTAGAGTTGCTCTTTTAGAATCAGTTTCAAGCATTGCATTTGCCTGCTTCTTCAGTCTCCTTTTGAAAGTCTCCTTTCCCTGGAGGCTCAGTGGTAAAGAGTCCACCTGCTGATGAAGAAGACTCAGGACCGATCCCTGAGTCTTTCCTCCAGGGGTCATGAAGATCCCCTGGAGGAGGAAATGGCAACCCACTCCAGTATTCTTGCCTGGAGAATCCCCATGGACAGAGCAACCTGGTGGGCTACAATCCATGCGGTTGCAAAGAGTCAGACATGATTGGGCATGCATGCACACACACATTAGTCTCCTTTATGATATTAATAGAACAGTGCCCTCATCCCTTTGACATTGATTTTTTTTCCCCCTGAAAGAACTCAGGCCAATTTGGTAGAAGGGCCTGCTTTCTAGACTTGTCTGTTTCCTGCAGGTGCTGTTTAACCTGTTCCTCCCTCCCATACATACTGGAAGTTAAGGCCAAGATTTGATTTAACTCAGGTGAGATGTTGAAGGCAAGGATACTTCTCAAGTAATGTTGTGGGCTCCACGGCATTTGAGGTACCTAATGTCAGATTGTCCCACTTTCATGATGCTGTTTGGTCACTGGGTTGAAGAGGTGACAGCCAGCTCTCTCCATTAGAAAGACGAGTTGAGAAGCAAACTGCATGTGTACTAAGTCGCTCCAGTTGTGTCCAACTCTTTGCGACCCTGAGGACTGTAGCCCACCATGCTCCTCCATCCATGGGATTCTCCAGGCAGGAATACTAGAGTGGGTTGCTGTGCTCTCCTCCAGGGGGTCTTCCCGGTCCAGGGATCAAAAGAGTAAGACTTTCTCATCATGCAAAAATCCTGCTCCCCACAGCCTTCTCCTAATGGGTTCAGTCTCCACCGACCGTTCTTGCTTGAATCAACAGTTTCATTGTTGGTTGGAAATAGTGATCCTTCTATCATTCCTTCTGCATTTATTATCTGGCTTTTTTTTCCCCTGTAAAGAAGAGCTTTCCCTCATTAACTCTGGATAAGCCAGAGTTATTCCAAATATGAGACTGTAAATGATGTCTTTTCTTTTTAATTGCTGATTACCATACTAATGGCAATGCCAAAGAATGCTCAAACTACCACACAATTGCACTCATCTCACACGCTAGTAAAGTAATGCTCAAAATTCTCCAAGCCAGGCTTCAGCAATACGTGAACCATGAACTTCCAGATGTTCAAGCTGGTTTTAGAAAAAACAGAGGAACCAGAGATCAAATTGCCAACATCTTCTGGATCACTGAAACAGCAAGACAGTTCCAGAAAAACATCTATTTCTGCCTTACTGACTATGCCAAAGCCTTTGACTGTGTGGATCACAATAAACTGTGGACAATTCTGAAAGAGATGGGAATTACAGACCACCAGACCTGCCTCTTGAGAAANCTAAAGGAAATCAGTCCTGAATATTCATTGGAAGGACTGATGCTGAAGCTGAAACTCCAATACTTTGGCCACCTGATGCAAAGGGTTGACTCATTTGAAAAGACCCTGAGACTGGGAAAGATTGAAGGTGGGAGAAGAAGGCATGCTGAGGTTCATGGGGTTGCAAAGACTGAGCGACTGAACTGAACCATAGTAAGGTGTTGGCATAACTGGATCTTTTAGATCTTGTCTCCTTTTTTCCCCTTAAATTTGAGTTATCACTGAACACGTGGGTTTATGTTTTTTAAACGTTTTACACCACAACCTAGAAACTCCTTTTTATGGTCCGCGTATTAGCTTCTGAGTGCTGCTTTAGCAAAAGACCACAACTGGGCGGCTGAAACAGCAAAACTATATTCTCTCTGTTTTGGAGACCAGAAATCTGAAATCAATTGCATTTCTTTTCGAGGGAGCTTTCTTTTAATGTCTTTTGCCTTCTTTTTCCATGAAATAAGTGGGTTAGAAAAAGATTTTAAAGAGCTACGTCTGTAACAGGAGGCTTGTTTGTGAAATAAGTTGCAAATACTTTCTCTCAGCTTGTTTTCTGTCTCTGCCGGTTTCCTTTTCTGCTGTACCCAAGGTTTTGTTTTTGCTTTGTTTTGGACACTGGCTGATTTATCAGCCTTTTCTTCTCTTCTTTCTAGCCACTTTCAGAAAGGTTTTTTCCACTCTCCACGACAGAAAAGTCACCTGTGTTGTCTTCTTCTAGCACTTTTATGTCTTCACTTTTGACACTTAAGCGCTTTGACCCCTTTGGAGTTTTTTCTGGTGTAGGGTATGGAGCAGATTTATCTTTTCCAAGGAGTCCTGGCATAGTCTTCAGGAGAGGCCCAGCTGGAATAAAACTTCTAGCTGTGGATGCTTCTCCTCTGGGGGACAGGGAAAAGGGAAGGTCTCACGGGGACTTAACTCCTGCTGGACGTGGAGAACGCTGTGCAGTGTGGTCCTGCACATCGTCCTGCTAGGGGGATACAGAGACCTGGTCGGGGGTCTGGGTGAGGAGGTGGCCTGCCCAGGAGAGACGGAGCCCAGAATTCCAAAATTTCCATCCACAGGCGTGAGAGTCAAGATGGAACCTTTTCCAGTATTCAGCAGACGACTTTCTCCTCTCCTTTCCTCAACTCTCAAACCTTCAGAGGACCCTCTTTGCCTCTACACACAGTTCAGGCTTCTTTTCTTGTTGTTTTAAGCTCAGCGCCCTCCAAGTCCTGCCTTTCTCATCTCCCATTCCACATATATCTTAAATCTGACCATTGATCAGCCAACGAGCCTCAGGTGGTCTTACCTAGATGCCTTCTTGGAAACTGGGTCTTCCTCCTGTAAAGTCCACCTGCCTCAACACCGTCAGTCACATTCCTGATTAAACTGGAAGCACAGTCCAAGCCCCACCCCCACCCACGGGTTGCCCTCATCCCTCCGAGGGCAGCCACTCTGCAGGGTGGACCTGACTCTGAGTCACAGCACTATGGGCCCCCTTCGTCTCATCTGCTGGGCTCCAAGCACCTTCAAAGCAAGTGTAGGGGACTGACTAGTGCCCTCCCCCAATTCACGTCCGCTCAGAACTCAGCATCTGACCTTATTTGGAAGTAGAGTCTTTATAGATGGAATTCAGTTCAGATGTTGTCATACTGAATTAATGTGGACCCCAAAGCCAATGACTGGTGTTCTTATAAAAAGAGGAGGGGGGGAATCCTTGGGGGTCCAGTGGTTAAGAATCTGCCTGCCAATGCAGGGGACACAGGTTTGATCCCCGGTTAGGGAACTAAGACCCCACACACCACAGGGCAGCTGATCCTGCATGTCACAGCTTCTGAAGCTCGCACGTTGAGAACTCGTGCAATGAGAGAAGCCACTTCAATGAGGACCCAGTGCAGCCAAATATAAAATATATGAATAAATAAGCTTTAAAATAACCAAGAGAAAAGGACACACACTGAGGAGCGCATCACCTCTTTAACCCAGTGACTGAATCTGCGCCTTGTGAAAACACAGAGGGAGAGAGGACGGTGAGGATGGAGGTAGAGAGTGAAGGGA